AAATTTTCAGTGAAAATCCCAAAAAATTGAAATGAGCAATGAAACTCATTTGGTGAGCGAAAAACCACCGCTATACAAAAATGCAGAAAAGTTCTGAAACGTCGTGGTTCGAAATGGTCGGGTTCTGAAACATCCCCGTAGCCCATTTTCTTTCGGTTTCTTTATTTGAAAAATCAATATTTTAATGAATTTTTGATATAATATATAAAGTTTCGAAAACACTCACTCAATGAATAATCCGTTCTCCTCGACAGTTTNTGGATCACACAACCCACAGAAATTCGAATTTTTCTGTAGTTTTTGTAGTCTCCAGTGTCTTCACTATTTTTTCTCATGATCTTTTGTTTTTTTCCCCGAAATTTGAATTTTTTAGGATTTTTTACTCTTGTTTGTTGATGTTTTATAGACTTTTTGATCCCCAAAATTTTGATTTTTCGTTTTTTTTTCTAATAAATTCTCTTTTTCTGAAAATTCCTTTTTTTTCGATTTTTTAAATTTTTTCCGGTGACTTTCAGCCGATTTTCTATATTTTTATATCTGAAAATTTGAATTTCCCGCTTTTTTTTAACCGAAAATTTGAATTTTTGTGCATTTTGTCGTCAAATTCGATGTTTTATGACTGAAACACCATATTTGACGACAGAATGCACAGAAAATCAAAATTTCGCTTTAAACCTCAATTTTTGTCACAAACTTTGAATTTCCCGCCTTTTTTAACTCAAAAATTTGAATTTTTGTGCATTTTGTCGTCAAATTCGATGTTTTATGACTGAAACACCAAAATTGGCGACAGAATGCACAGAAATTTGATTTTTGAACTAAAAATGGCTGAAATTCGAAATTTCCTGCTTTTTAAACCCAAAAATTTGAATTTCTGTGCATTTTGGCGTCAAATTCGACGTTTTACCGCTGAAACACTGAATTCGACGACAAAATGCACAGAATGGCTGAAAATTTGAATTTCTCGCGATTTTTTTCACCCAAAAATATGAATTTCTGTGCAATTTGTCTTCAAATTCGTTGTCCTGCCTCAAAACATCATATTCGACGAGCAAATGCACAGAAATTTGAATTTTCGTCAAAAAGCTCGATTCTAGGCACAAAAAAATGTGTGAAATTCGAATTCCCAGCTCATTTTCAGCCAAAATTTTTCTAATTTTCTGAAAAATCGATATATTTGTTTGCAGATGTCCCTTCTATCACTATTCATCAATGCTGGGTTGAGCGCGGTCGGTGCCGTCATATGTTATAGGCTCATTTTGGATTATATTCCGATTTTTATCGCGCGAAAAATGTATGGAAACGATCAGTGTAAGGTGAGTCGTTGTTTTTTGGCCTAAATGGCCAATTTTGGACCCCTGAAAGTCAAAATTTCGAGAAAAATGGTTAATTTCACCTCCTGAAAGTCAAAATTTCGGCTTAAAACTCTCAAAATCGAGTTTCCCATGATTTTCTACCCCTGAAAACTAATTTTCAGCTCTCTAGCTCGAAATGTCGTAAGATTCGGTGTCTGGTCCGCAAACACCAAACGAAGCATCGAATCTTACGACAATTTCAGCTAGAGAGCAGAAAATTGGTTCCTAGGGATAAAAAGTGATGACAAACTCGATTTTCGTGTAGTTTTAAGCCGAAATTTCGAGTTTGAAAGTCTGAAATTTAAGATTTAGAGTCTAAAAACTCAATTCTGAGGTTTGAAACTATCATAATCGAGCTCCCCGTGCCTTTTCACCCCCGGAAACCAATTTTCAGCGTGCTTGCTTGAATTGTCGTAAAATTCGGTGTTTGGTCAGGGTGTTTGCAGACCAGACACCCGATTTCACGACAGTTTGAGCTAGAGGGCTGAAAATTGGTTTCTAGAGGTAAAAAGTGATAGGAAACTCGATTTTTACACTTTCAGGCGGAAATTCTAGGTTTGAAAGTCGGAAAATTCGGAAAATCTTGATTTTGGCAATTAAAACATGAGTTTTGTGATCCGAAACTATCAAAATCGAGTTTTCCATCACTTTTTACGCCCAGAAATCAATTTTCAGCTCGCTAGCTTGAATTGTCGTCAAATTCGGTGTCTGGTCCGCAAACACCGGAAGAAACATCGAATTTTACGACACTTCGAGATAACGCGCTGAAAATTGGTTCCCAAGTGTAAAAAGTGATGGGAAACTCGATTTTGACACTTTCAGACGGGAATTCTAAGTTTGAAAGTCGGAAAATTTTAAAAATCTTGATTTTGGCAATTAAAACATGAGTTTTAAGATTTGAAACTATCAAAATCGAGTTTCCCATCGCTTTTTAACTCCGGAAACCAAATTTCAGCCGTCTAGCTCAAAATGTCGTGAAATATGGTGCATTGTCGTGGCGTTTGCAGACCAGACACCACATTTTACGACAGTTTGAGCTAGCGAGCTGAAAAGTGATTACCCGGGGTAAAAAGCGATGGAGAACTCGATTTTGATAGTTTCAAGTTTTGAAACTGAAGATTTAGTTGCCAAAACCTCAAAATCCAGATTTTCAAAGTTTCAAACCCAGAATCTCAGTCTGAAAATTTCAAAATCGAGCTTCCCATCATTTTCTACCCCCCGACACCAGTTTTCAGCTCAATATCTCAAATTATCGTAAAATTCGATGCATTGACTGGTGTTTGCGGACAATGCGCTAGATCTTACGACAATTTGAGCTAGCGAGCTAAAAATTCGCTTCTAGGGGTAAAAAACGATGGGAAACTCGATTTTGATAGTTTTGAAGCGGAATTTTCGAGTTTCAAAGTCTGAAAATGTGCTTTTAAGTCAAATTTCCCGCATTTTTCAGGTCTCCAACGCTCCCGTACCCGAACCAATGGGTGTAATCTGTGCCGCCGTGTATCTCATCGTGATGTTCGTCTTCATCCCCTTCCCGTTCATCGAATGGATCGGAATGGACACTTTCCCATACGCCAAGCTTCTGGCGATTCTCTCGGGCCTCATTTCCATCTCCACTGCCATTCTATTAGGATTCGCCGACGATATGTTGGATTTGCGATGGCGACACAAGCTGCTGTTCCCGACGTTGAGCTCGTTGCCGCTTCTTATGGTTTATTATGTTTCTGGTAGGAAATTGGTTGAACATGAGCTTTGAAAATGGCTGAAAATGAACTGAAAATCATGAAAAATGGATGAAAATGGCTTAAATCGGCCTATTATGGTCCAAAATCGATGAAAAATGGCCTAAATTAGGCTTAAATTGGCCTAGAAACGGCCTAAAACGAGATTTTTCAAAGTGGGCGGAGCCTAGAAGGAGAGGGGGCGGAGCTTAAAACCACCTTCAAAAATAGACCAGAAATCATCGCTCATTTTGAGTCAGTTTTCTAGAATTTGAAGAAAAAAACTAAAAGGGGCGGAGCCAGGTCCCAAGAAGAAAAGTGGGCGTGGCTTACAGGAGAAAAGGGGGCGGAGCTTCGAATTTTTCGATTTTCCGAGGCCTCCAAAAAATTTTCTCTGCGAATTTTCAAGCTTTTAAAGGGGGCGGAGCCTAAAAGGGGGCGTGGCGTAAAATCTTCAAAAATAGTTTAACGGAAAATCTGCGAATTTTCTAGGAGCTAAAAAGTGGGCGGGGTCTAATCTATAAAAAAAAAGGGCGTGGCTTAAAAGGGGCGGAGCTTAATACCTTCTGATATCGGCTTGAAATCCCTTGATTTCGACCCAATTTTTGTCGAGTTTTATGTACGCTAAAAAGTGGGCGGAGCTTAAAGTTTGGAAAAAAGGGGCGGAGCCTAATTTCTGAAAATGGGCGGAGCCTATTTTTTAATGTTCGAAAATCCGCATAATTTTGAACAAATATTTCTCGACTTTTCTAGGCACTGAAAGTGGGCGGAGCCTAATTTTTGAAAATGGGCGTGGCTTATAGGGGAAAAGTGGGCGTGGCGTAAATGGGGGCGGAGCTTAAGCCTGACCTTTCAAAATAGGCTTAAAATCATTCATTTTGAACCTATTTTCAGCGTGCTAAAAGTGGGCGGAGCCTATAAAAAGCAAAACTACAGTAATCCCAAAAATTTGTAGTCTTTGTAGTCTTTGTAGTCTTT